GTTTACATATTTCTGCCGTATTATATATGCTGTCACATAAGAAAGAAATCATGTTTACTTGGCTTTTAAAGATGGAATTAGGAATTAAACATGGGATAGGTAAAATACAGGCAGACATTCCCCCTGCAAATTAGCTGCTCTCCATACAACTTCAATCCAGAGCTAGGCAGCCTGGAGAGTATGCTCTGTTGGAGGCATGAAGTACAAGTGTTCTAGCCAGGAAACTCAAACTGCTCTTTTCACCCTGCTTATGTCTGAAGATAAAGCATTCTTCAAATTCCCTGGAGAAATAAACTGTCTCTACCCAGATAAGTTGTCCGGCCCCTGATCTTAAAAGTAATTCCCATGGTAGTACTGGCAAGAGGAGTTTAACATGGATCAACACAGACATTGTGTTATGACAGCAGTCAAAACTGACTGCAACACTGCAGCTACAGCAAGAGAAAACATCTGAATAAGTGGCTGCATTCTTACAGGGCACCACAAAATGTCTTTTCATGTATGGATTCCTAGGGGTAATCAGAATATGAAGATACACAAAACCAGATGTACAACCAAAACCAGTAAAATAACTTGGTGCTATGTGGCTGTTACAGGACACATAAGATATCTAAGAACTATACGAGCATTTTTTCTAACAGTACCATTTTTTAAGCTTTAGTAAACTCCAGACATCAGTGTCATGTACTAAGCAAAGGAACAACATAAAATTAAATAAGTGTCGATATCGATGCCAATTGTGAACATATGAGAAAATGTATAAAAGAGATATAAATGTATAAATGCTTCCTCCACCAAGAGCTGGATCTGTGTTTCTATGCTAACATGGATTACTCCATGTTATTTCAAAATGTCAAATCCCAACAATAATAGGAATGCTTTGAATTCCCTTTTTTAAAGCTAATTTGAAATACATGCAGAAAACTTTCAGTCATGAAATACCAATGCACTGGTATTTGGTTAGTAACAAAAATACATAGTAAATCTCTTTTAAAAAGTAATTAAGCAGATTGACAGTGTCAATATGTCTTATTCATTAACAGCTATATGAAGAATAAATTATATAAAATTATCATTCTGTTGAGGTTAAAATAACTTAAAGATGTACAAAATAAAACAATTACTGGAGAATAATGATAAAGTGATTAGATCTTTTAAAAAAAATTAGCTAATTACTTATGCTGTAGTCCATGTAAATACAAGTTAACAAGAATGCAGGCACAGTAAAAAAATATTTCTTTCTTTCTTTGCAAGCCTTTAAAATTCACATGTATTACATATATGAAATAACCAGGATGTTCTAAAGACAAAACCATTAATATTTTACCCCTTGGCTCTGGTACCAGGTCATGACTTGAGTGTTCATCCTTCCTGTAATCCCTAGTATAGTAATTGTACAGACAGAAAAAAGTGACAACTCTGAGCTTCATTAAACTCATACAACACAGACCAAGTGAGAGGTAATTACATCCTGATGGAAAGTGAAAGACAAACATTTCCATGGGGTATCCTCTGAACCATGCCAAGGTTAATATAAAGAAAGGAAACTATAAGTGTTCCATGAAACCCAAGTCTCCTATTATATACTGACAAAATTTACAAATTTTTGTTCCTGGCTTGATTTTTCCAAGATATTTTGCATGTCTCCTTTAAAAAAATCAGACCTTTAAGATCATCCAGTCCAACCATCCCCTCCAGTACCACCACGACCATCCCTGAACCATACAGATGCCCTTTGATCACTTCCTGAAATGATGACTTCATGCCTTGGCTGGGCAACTTCTTTCCATGTCTAACTACTTTTTCAGTGAAAAAAAAAAAGTAATCTGAACCTCCCCTGGCACAGCTTAAGGCCATTTCTTCTCATCCATTCATTTGAGACATGGCAGAAGAAAATGACCCCCATCTCACTACATCCTCCTTTCAGGTGGTTGTAGAGAGTGATGAGGTTTCCCCCTTAGACTCTCCTTCTCCAGGCTAAACATCCCCAGCTCCCTCAGCCATTGCTCATACGACATGTTTTCCAGACCATTTGCCAGTTCTGTTGCCTGTCTCCAGACATGCACCTCAATGTCCTTGTCGAAGTGAGGGGCGCAAAACTGAACACGGTACTTGAGGTGTGTTGGCACCTCACCAGTGCCAAGTAAGGAGGGATAATCATGTCCCAAGTTCTGCTGGCCACTGTTCTTGATACAGGCCAAGATGCCACTGGCCTCCTTGGCCACATCTTTTTAGAAAGATAATTGAACAGTGAGGTATTAAAGGACAGTAAGACTAAGCTACCAGTGGGAAAATATCTTTCAAAAATTATTACTTCATCTATGACTCCTCCACCTAATATTCTCACTACACAGATATTAATTACTTTTAGTTTTGCTCATCTGATACCAATTATATATCAGGTAAATTATTTGTAACCTTCAAGTTAATTTCAACTATTTGTTACCTTTCAAGTTTTTTACCTTGTACAATGGAAGAAGAGATTTTATCCCGGAACATTTCTCTGTTTCCTAGTCACATTACATAATCTGATAAAAGGTGGCTTGCACATCTTGCCTGTACTATGCTTTTACATGATTGCAAAGAAACATTTTTTTTAATTACTTCTTTGATAGGCTATTCAACATTTATCCCTAAGAAAAATTCATATCAATTGCCTGTCTTACTGTGAGATGAATGCTTTACACAAGACCCTATTTTTTACGGTCCGACTATAAATATAACATGGGATAACTGCTCAGATTCAGAATGTGACTTTTATGTGCAAGGTCAGTGTATTCAGAAAACTTTTCCAACCAGAAACCTGATTGCAGAAAGACTTTTATTATGCCAAATTGTCAGTGGCTGTAACTTTACAGTTAAAAATAGAAAGGTAACAGCTAATACAAATTAACAGTGTTGAAATCATCAGACAGCAGTGACCAACCATGACCTCCCTCTTCATGACCCCTTGAAATGTTGGAATTACTATTGTCTATAGAAAGCTCAACACTGACTTATGCTAAAACAGGAAATATTTTAAAATAATGTCAAAATGTCAAAGCAGTCCAATTTCAGCAATTACTTTTATCATGGCTATATTCCTCTTTTGTGCAAACATTCTTGAGGTTTCTAGCTGCACTTCTGATTTCCTATTACTCTCCAGTTATACAAATTATATTTCTTAGTTTATCTCTATCTGTACATATATACATGCACATGGAATAAATATATATATCTATTTCAAAGCCATTTCCTTTTTAAATGCATGAACTTTAGGTTCCTAAACTATTTTTTTTTTTTCCAAACACCTGCCCCTAAGAATGTGACTCTTTCAGACTTATTACAAATTTCCCACTCTTGCTCAATGTGCGTGCGAGGATATGAGCGTGAAGATGTTACTCAACTTTTAACATAACAATTTTCTTGCAATCTTCTAGCATACAGAGATTCCAATGTGAGTACTAACTACTCAAAGTAGAAGACTACCTCCCATTCCATGAGTCTGCAGGAGTAAATTAATTCTTCAGCACATAATTTAATAAATGCATTTGAATATGATCAAGGATAAGGTGTTTTATTATAAGTGCTACAACAATCTGCTTGTTTTCTGCACTGGATTCCTGCACTTATTTAGTAATTCACCATAAACTTTTAACTTTCCAACAAACATTAACATGCAGGAAAGAAAAATATTTCAAAATTTCTCTTTTTGTTTTGTTTTAAAAAACTGCATGATCAAATTTGAAAATATTTAAACTAGATAGTGTTATAATAGCTTGTAGTGTGGATGGACAAACAATCCCTAGATATGGAAACAGTACCTTAAAATATTCTATTGGAATGCAATCTTCTTCACAGAGAAATAGTCTGTGCTTTTTAAAAGCTATATTTTAAAATTGTTTGAAGAGTTATGCCTAAATATTTTTTCAGTACAAATGAATAATTATTCTAATAAGCAAAAACATATGTGGGTGTCCTATTTTAAAAGCACATTGTGCTAAAAAAAAAAGAAAAAAAAGACCAAAAGAAACAAAAAAAAAAACCTCTTAAAAAAGGTAACTTTCCAAAAGATTCTCAGAAACTTTTCTGTATATGAATATTAAAATCTTACGGTTGTCAAAATATGAGTTCAACATGCTCACCCACTAGTGGAAACTCAGAAGAATAAATATATTTGCACAATATGTCTCACCAGACAACAGTTTCAGATATTCCAATGCATTACAGACCAACAACAGATATAGAACGATTTTAGACACACATTTTATGCTGGTTTTGCTGGCTATTCTTTTATTTCTGATAAACTTATGAACAAGAGAAATGTGCTGTGACACAGGAATTGGAATTTTATAACTAAATACATTAAAATATGGATTATGAAGGTTAAAATCCAGAGAGGAAGACTGCACTGATCCTAGCAGAAACACTGCTGTTTTAAACTGCGTAGAGTTCTGTCTTTTCTTTTGATACACAAAAAGTCACTACTCTGCTGCCAGCTGGTGCATGCTCCTACCACAGTTTCCACTGAACACAGATGTTCTTTCAAGTGTACATCTGAAGTACTTTGCTGATATTAAAGATTCCAGGCAGAAATTGACTCATTAAAAAAAGCAAGCACCTATACATTGACATGACCAAGTTCCCTCCTAAGAGAAATACTATATAGAACAGATATAATAACCTCCTCTTACTTGTTATTTAGTGTGGCAAGAAATCAAAAGATGCTTGGGGCAGTCATCATGACACTTGATTTGGGTAAACAAAAAAATCTAAGATGGAGATATAATTTCAGAAGATATGTTTTTTAACCAAAATCCTCAGAATACACAGGGCACCAGTCCACTCACTGCAGAACATATAAAAACAGTATAAATATCTGAACCAACATTCAAATAAGTGCTACGTTTTTTCCTCCAAAATTTTAAGATTTTTATATAACATGGTAAAGGAAAAAGGAAAAAAAACCTAGAAGTTAGTACTTGAGGAAATGAGGTACATAAAGTTACTGTAATACTTACCACTGTGAAATTCATAACCTTCAAAATCCATATTGTCATTGCTAAATTAACAATCATGGTAACCAACAGCAGAAGGACAAAGAAGTATAAGCACCTCTTTCGCCATCCATAAATCCCTACTGGGTAAAACTGAGGATGTTCCGTCCTTGGAAGGCTGTTCTGTTGTGTTGCTAATATATACTGCTCTCGTGTCATCTGGAAAAGAAAGATGCAAGTGTAAGTAAGGAAATGAGAAGTCTGTTTTTCACATGTAATATTACATGAAAATTATCTCAGAATGTAGAGAAAATCAGTTTCTATGAGCACAGAAGGGATACATTCATCTAGCATTAATCACATCAATGGTATTTGTACTGGGCATCTAGTCTGAATTTGATGGATTTTATGAATTTAAAGTCAATGTTTGGTTTCTATTTAAAACTGGATTTGCATTTCAAATTTATCAGCAAGAAACTATTAGAAATATAAAAGTAATCCATGCATGTATTTTACACTCTAATTCTTAATAATTTTTTATTGTCTTTTATGAAAGCATTCAGCAAAATATGGTTCTGGAGAAAGAGAGTCATGTAGCTTTTCTTTTGTACTGGTTTTGGCTGAGGTAAAAGCAATTTTCTTCATATAGCTTGGAGCCAGTACACTCTTTTTTACAAATAGAAGAAAAATCTCACCTAGCAAAAATACATCTTTCATAAATGAAGTTTTCAGTCTTTTATTATACTTAGAAAATTGAATTAATAATTGATGCTATTATACATACCTCCTTATTTTACAAAAAAAATTCTTTTGCCCTTTAAGAGATGGATACAATTATTATCTTTGAATTCCTGAACTAGTTTAAATTCTTCTCACACACAAGCAAGCAGTAACCATTTCAAAACTGCTTAAAGAACTTTCTATTACTACTTCCTTAAAACAAAAGTTTTGTGCCATTTATTAAAAAACGGTTTCATTTTTTTATGCACAATTGTCTTTTACAGATATTCATATTCATATTCAGTTGTCACACTGCCTTTAGACCAGAAGGTAGTAAATTTTCTCTGTGACTTAATTTAAAGCAGTCTCATTCTGTTTATTCAAGAGTCCTTTCCATAATATGGCCATTAGAAATGTTGTTTTAATAGGCTTTGTGCTCAGGAGGAAGAAGACAATACAAAACAAAAAAAGAAAATCCAAAACAAGCAAACACAAACTCAACAAACTTATAAACCAGATAAAACAGTCAATTTTGAGCTTAAAAGCTGCCTTTCTTTTGACTAAAAGAAATGAGTCAGTGAATCCAATGAGAAATAAAAACCAGATTAAATTCATTTGAGGGATCAAAGAAGTGTTGATTTCATATGAGTTTTAAAAGGTGAAGCTCAAAAATGTTCATGTATAATGAAATGTTCAAATGTCTGTGTTGCTAGATATTTATCCAAACCAACACTCTTTAGGTTTCACCATTCTTCTAGTGAATGAGATATTAATGGAATAAATTAACTCACAGAGAATAATTAGAGCCATAAGTCATAGAACACACATCCATATTGTGACAGTATATATATCACTGAAATAAGTCAAGACAGAAATAAAGAATTTATTAAGCAGATTTTAAGTAAGTTAGCAAACAGGCATTTTGTCATTTTTATTTTTTTCAATAATGATTTCTTCTCTTTGCCCTCAATTTCAATTAAATGGAATGTTTAGTGGCTTATTTATGTAGTGAATTTTACAAACAAAATTTCCATCAATGACATTTCTCAATCCTCCCAAAACAAGGTATGGCCAGGTTTTAAGACCTTGCATCATCTTTTATCATATGCTGGCAGTTTTCATCCTAATTGTGTGAAAATGCCTTATAAATCCAGAAACTGAGTACACAAACAGGTTAATCAACTTCTTCCTTATAATGAATTTCTACACATTTATTTTGCCAACCATTGTAAGAAAAATGAGTGTATGATTAAATTTTGAGATTTAAAGTAACTGGTTAATTCTACACCATTTCCATTTTCTTGATTTAACTTTATATATTATCTATGGAAAAAATATTTTGATTAAAAATAGTTGGAAAGTCAACTTTCAGACCAAGACAACATCAGAAGTAGTACTATTCCTAAAATTGTGAACATAGTCCAATGCAATCATTAAATACAGTGACATGTTATTCCATCACCACAGCCAGGCACCACTCAGTTCCCTCTGTATACTGTTCAGCTCTGTGAGCCTTGGTGAAGCAAGCTCTGCCCCTGCAGCCCATGGAGGGCCATAGGGGAGGAGAAATCCACACCACAGCCTGTGGAAGATCCCATGCTGGAATTGCCTGAGGGGCCAGAGTTTGAGAACACATGCCAAAACAGAAGCCTGTCTGGATCTGTGAACCCATGCAAAGGAGCCCATACCTTCTGTTGAAACTGTCACCTGGAACATAACCTACTCCTAGACATTTTCATTACTGATGAAATCAATCATACTGATGAAATCAATCATACTGATTGATTCTCTGCATATTATTCCCTTAATTCATAGAAAGAATGAAAACATAAAGGTACTTTAAAATACAAGTTCAGAGTATAACAGCGTCTAGACCCAATATTCATTTGATTTGACAAGGAATTCGATGAGCTGTAGAGCTACAGATAGAGGAATGATAGCTAGCAAGGAAAATTCATCATACCATCATTTAGAGGAAAAAAAAAATCAAAAAAAGCAATCTGGTCATGACTAACCATAGCTCAAAACATCATAGAGATGATTCACCTGAACCAGGTAGCTCTGCCCACTCACCCTGAAAGTAACACAGCCTCTTGGCAAGCAGGTAATGCTGTGGAGAACTCTCTTTTTGTATGACACTACAGCAGGCCATTAATTTTCCCTCCCCTCACAAAGTATGTGGCATTAAGCTTACAGCAGAAAATTATGTTACTGGTTTCTTTGTAGACTTATCTGAAAGTTTACCCTACATGCATCACACAGAGCAGGAAGTGCTATAAGAACCACAGCACTTCTTGTGTAGCAAATACACAAATGTTACATCCCAACCTTGGCTTTAAAATCAAGACTTGGGATGAAATCAAGAAGTTCATTATTAAAACAAACATGAAGATGGCAAGTAAGTGGGTTGTATCTTTTGAAAAGCCTGATGCACAAACTGATAAATTTTCTTAGAAAGAATTTAAAATGCTTGGTGCCATTTTCAGTATGTGTTGAAGCAGATTAATTGTTCCTTCTCTTTTGCAGGTGTTTGGTAATCTAGAATACTTCCAAAATTAACAGAAAAGTATTGTATTATCTTGATTTGGTTGGGATTATATCAACTATGACTTGATTGACAAGATAGTAGAGCTGCATTCTTAGAGAATTAAATACTGGAGGGAGAGAGCAACTTCCTCTGAAATTTTTATATGGGCTACACCTGACACCTGTTAAGTCTTCTCCTTTTGGCATTAGCCATTCAAGCCTTTCAAAGGCAGCCAAAACTGTGTCAGATAAAAGCCTCATCAATCTATTGTACATTTCATGCAAAACAGCAGAAATCCTTATTGCCCTGATAAGCAATTTTTTATTTGTTGGATTTTATTTATTTTTCACTTTAGTATAACTGGGATCATGACTAAAATTGCCTCAGCAGCTCAAAAGAATTTAGAGAATGTGGTTCTTCTGAGACTTGAACTAGGATATGTCATGGTATCACAGAATGGATTTCAAAGAGATTATCTGGTCCAATGCCAAGGATGGAGACTAAACAACTGTGCGTGACAATAAAATAAAAATGTTTTTATCATAGACTACTTTTGTCATGTAGGCGTCAAATCAGAGGGATTTCAAGATTCTGATCTGAGGGTTGGGTGCTTTTTTGTTCCGCTGTGGATTTTTCTTCTTGTAAATTTTAGAAATGAAGGTAGACACTCCAAAACTGTGTTTTCTAATGAACACATCTGTAAATCCCTTTGCACCCTTGAAAACCTAAAGGAAAAAACACATGCAAACAACTTATCTATCAAGCTGTACATAATGTCAGTTGAATACATAATTTATGCGATTTGAAGTTTAATAATTCAGAAGAATCTTCTCTTTTTCTTGGCCACAAAGTACAGTTTTGTCATCAATGTCAATAAGGCTTAAGTCAGTATGTTTTTACTGACAATGCTGGGCTTTATGTTGACAATTAGAATTTAATTTTTTCCTAACTCAATACAGTTAGATTACTACAGAGACTTCATTATAGCCAGAGGCAGGACAGCAGCTGAGGCACACAATTTTCTCCCTGTGATGCCAGTGCTTACTAAACACTTACTGAAACAATTGTCTATAAAAGGACAATAAATGCTTGCATCTTGGATATTTTTTCCCTATAAAATTATCACTGCACAAAAATCAATATCAGTCACCTGATACTATTACTATTATTACTTAGTGTGAGCATTTATGGCTGTTCTGTTCAACATATTTAATTGTAATTTTCTCTGCACAATGAAGTTAACAGCATGTTAAAAGAATAAATAATCATGTAATGAATAGAATCATACTTTTTACAACTGTTCTGTGACTTGAAATATTTTTAAATAATAATATTGTGCAATACTGAATTTTCAAGGAAGCTGGATTCAAATCTGGCTCAGGCTTGATGTTTCTCTAAAAATATGCCTTTCTAAGCTACATTTTCAAAATTGAACCACATTTCAGTGGTATTTTTAAAAGATTAGTGTATTTTTAAAAGACAGTTTGGTTTCAAAAACTTACTCATTATTTCACTTTATTTTACTTTATAATTATCTAACTGCATGTGGTGTTTGAGAATAACTTTTTGAGGTGCTCTATCTAGCTACACTGATTATTAAGGACAACCTTAGTCAAACTAGGTGGGATCACAGAAGTTTACTAACAGCGACACAGGATTCCATATAGCTGAGTTGTCTTAGAGAAAAGCAGATGCCTAAGGAGAAAACTGCAGCATTCTGCCCTAGCACCTGTGATAGGTCTCTGCACTTCATCTCAAATATTCCTTCTGCTAGACAAAGAGACAAATTTTGTCTTATTGAATAAATTCTAATAAATTAATAAAATAGCGAAAAGTCAGGAAAACTACAGCAAACCATTGGATCCCAGTTTAAAAACCCATGACTTTTCTCTTAAACCTGGTGGGCCCTTCATCCCTGTTGCTCTACATATCACAGTAAGGCACAGCACATTCACAAGTGCTAGGACCAGCA